CAGGATACTCTGAATACAATCATGTTCATTTGCTTCAACTCGCAGCACTTGGTTTGGTGCCTTGTTTTCCTCACCTCTACCCAAGATCGATCTCCCCTTGTAGCATAATCTGCAATAAAAGACTCGAGTTGAGATGCAATCGGTGTATAGGATCCCACACGCGACGACGTTCCCACAGCCCTCACTACAACAGGTGATAACCTGCTCTTCTTCCGTAGTATAGTGGTCAGTATGCAAGCTTGTCACGCTTGAGACCCGGGTTCAATTCCCGGCGGGAGAGATCCAGCCATCTGCGATACGCAGATTTTCTTTTTGATGTTGGTGTATTTACTTGACTGGCCTCATTCATCTTCACTGTCTTGCACTATAGGGCAACGATGGGCAAGCAATGTTTCGATTTCGAGTCTAGCTAATAATAAAGGTAGTATCTTTCGCCAACTGACTCATAATTCTTGATCAAGCCCTTATGACAAGTCGCTCTCCTGGGGGTGGTTGCTCTGCTGAGGAGTGTTGTTGTTGTTCTCATGGCTGCTGCTGTCTTGAGGATTGCCCTGCAGAACGGTCCCTCGGACAGGAACTTTATCGAACATGTCTGGGAACACACGAACGAAGGAGGGGCCATTTTCATTATAACGATGCGCCATAATGTCGGATTCCGGGTACCATGCCTGCAATTGGCACAAGGTAAGATGCTTTGCTCGGTCCTTCTCTGTCGTCAGATGTCCCTAAAAGAAGCTGGCGAAAATACAATATCCCCAGCACACTGTGGCAGGCCCCCCTGCTCGTCCCCGAGCCCTGCTAGTAACCACTCTCGAGAAACCAGGTGCTCGCTGGTCAGGCATGATTCTCAATCGCTCGATGAGCTCAATCCAGTTGTCCTCTTTCTCGGCCGCGTCATCTTTCGCCCAGGCGTTCCATTCGCGTACCAAGGCATTGTATAACTGAACTGCCTGTTCGTCTTTGTCGTTGAAAGCTTCCCATTGGTCTTTCCACCTCTGATTTGGGGGATCAAGGGCTGTAGTAGTGCCTGTTGCATGAGGATTCATTATAGCCCAGATGTTGCTGATATGGAGACTGGAGAAGTGTATTGGAGTTGAAAATGACGATGGAAGAAATAAACCAAAGTTGGGGGTGGTCATGATGAAGGAAGAATGAATATATTGGTACGAAGTCAGGGGGGGGCTACTTCCGTAGAGAGCAAAATGACATTAGATCTTAACATAGGAAGGCACCTATCCTAAGCTTCGGCAGGTAAGGTAGGTACAGGTAGGAAAGGTACCCTAAGGTGTGTAATGTATCCTAAACTTGAGAAAACGATGTACTAAACTATCCTAAACTTATGCCCAGTTACCCAAGTCTTTTTAATATTTGGGTTCAAGATACTGAGTTTTTTCTTTACTCCCCTAGGAAGGAAGGTTAGCAGGGTAGGGAAGACGAAACGTGAAGCAGAGAATGCAAGTTAAAGAATCATGTTCATTCTTGAGATAGGTAAGATAATGATGACTCGCTAATATCCAAAATGACCTGGTAAGTCCCTTAATCCATTCAAAAGACCCATCGCTAATACCCAATTGTAGCATGCTTATATCCAAAACCCAATATCACTAACATCTTAGAATCGCCACCTGTGGCCAGGGTGCTTCCAGTCCAAGTTGGCAACCTCCTCGGGTGAGAGGCCTGCAAGCTCCTGCTCGACGTTCTTCTTGTCGCGTCGGTTGTTGTCCCACTTCATCCAGAAGTAGCCAGAAATGCTGAGGATGAAGATCATGCTACCAGTGGCACAGTTCAGGCCGTTGCCGATGGGGAAGTTGGGGGCGTCCTTGACGAGGTAGGACCAGGTTGCGATGAGACCACCGATGTTGCCAAACATGACCTGTCAAGTGTTAGAGAAGGTATACGGTTGTTGATGGGAGATAAAACTTACGTTCATGCCGATGGCACTGCTTCGTGCGGTATCACTGACGACGTTGGCGCTGATGTGGGCGTTGGTCATAGTACCAAGAACCATACAGGTGCTGGCAATCAGGAAACAAGCGCCATATCGAACACTGGGAGTCTCAGAGGCCAAGAACATGGCGTATCCGATAATGACAGTGGGGGCGGAGAGGATGATGAAGATCTGTCGTCTGTCGAGGTACCAACTGAGAGCAGGGAAGGCAACAGCAAAGACGGCTCCGACGGCGTAGGGAGGGACACTGTGGAGCTGCTTCTGGACGGTGCTGTACTCGGGGTAGATGGCTCCGACAATGGTAGGGAGGAAGAAAGCAAGACCCTGGACAGTAATGTTGTTGAAGAGGAAGATGAAAGCGATCTGAAGAGTGACGGGGTTGGAGATACCGCGCCAGAGCTTGACTCGGTCGATACCGTCAATGACTTCGGTTTGAGCAAGACGCTCGGACTTGACACGGGCGATGCAGAGATCCTTCTCCTCCTGAGTGAGCCATCGAGCAGTCTCGGGTCGATCGGTGAGGGTGACGAAAGCGATGAGACTGAGACCGATGGTGATGATACCCTCAATGGCAAAGATCATTCGCCAGTGGTGAAGGCTACCGAAGTGGGGGAGCTTGAGGATGGCACTGGCCAAGAGACCACCGAAAGCACCAGCAAGAGGAGCCATGACCATGTAGAGAGACAGACGGAAAGTCAACTCAGAGCGCTTATACCAACGGGAGAGATAGTATGCGATTCCGGGAAGCATACCAGCCTCGAAGATACCGAGGAGGAAGCGAACACCGCAGATGGCTGCTTGGCTGTGGACGAAGGCGGTGGCGACACTGACGATGCCAAAGGCGAGAGAGGTAGCAGGGAGGAACCAGCCGGGGCCCATCCATTTACAGCAGACGGTAGCGGGGATCTCGAAGATGATGTATGAGATGTAGAAGACGGAGAGGATCTTGTTGTAGTCGTAGCCTACGAGATTGAGATCCTCTGTCAATCCAGCGATACGGGCGTTACCTGGGGGGTATATGTTAGTGAAGGTTGATGAGCTGAGAGTGAGAGAGTTGACTCACCGATATTGGCGCGATCGATGAAGCAGAAGAGATAGAGAACCGCGACGGTTGGGACGGTGTACAAGTCGAGTTTCCATCGTAGTCGTCGCTCAGCAGCTGGGTCGAACTGGACAAGAGAGTTACCGTAGCTGTATATTGTCAGTGTGAGTTTTTTCTCATAAGTGAGATACTCACGCGTCGGTAGCAATGTGACCATGACCAGCAGCATCATGATAATCATTAATGACACCTCCCTTCATCTCAGAGCGCTCATCGAACCCCTTTTCCTGATCAGATACACCCATGATGGCGTTTTCTCACAAGATCACAATTAATAAAGAAAAGAAGTGAAGCTGATGTGTCTTCAAGCTTCTGCGTACTGATGCTTGAGATACAGAATAAAAAAAGGACAGGAGCAGGGTCTTGATATAGTAAAAGCCAAGGATGGATAACACCTCGGGCTACCGTGTCGGGACAAGCAACCCCCCCAGTTTAAGGTGTCTGGATTGGCATTTCCCCTCACGAAGCTACTGGTACCGAGACGTGTGTTGCATGCAGTCGATTTCTTTGGAGTGTGTGTCTGTGTCAAAGAGGATTTTTGCCCTAGGAGCGGTTTAGCTTGGTGGACAAGGGGGGTGGCCCATCCCCGCAAAATGTGATATCTTATTCATTTCTGGCTATCCCTCTGGATCCGAGGGAGCACCACTTAGGGACCTCTGTGAGGTCCTGTTAATAAGGAAGCCAGTATCAGAGGTACTTACATTAACTAGTAGTTAATACTCTTAAAAATCTGCAGCCAATTAATACTGGAGCATGTCCTATAAAAATACTTAACTGGTGCTCCCTTGGATCCAAAGGGATTCATTTCTGGCTATGCTTTTATCCGCCGCGGAAACAAATCACCACCCCTGGTCTGATTGATATGCAGCTATTATGATAGGTCGACTCGGCTAAAATGTGTTGAGTGTCAATGTCATTGTCAAGGCGTTGTGTCAGTATCTTGTAAGCGACGGAGCAGATTCGGCGAAGTCGAAAGAGTCATAACAAGCTTAAAGGTTTACTTGAGATAGACTAGAGAAACTAGTGAATAGTTAAGTCTAGATTTCGGGAAGTAGTCTCGGGTGCGGGGAAATTACGGATTTACAGCCAGAGAGAGGAGAGGGAAGTGTTTTTGCTGGCGTTGTGTTGGAGATGGATGAGGGTGAAGATCATGACCGAGAGTGTGAGAACAACCAGGTACGTATTCTCACTACCACCACGTGGAAAGGGAAAAAATACATGTAGCATCCACATATTCTCCAACTTTGCCGTATGCATGCACTTTTCTGCTTAAATGTAACTCTACATTATTGTGTAAGTGACTCTCTCCCCGTGCTATACAGGCTTCCCCAGGTTTTGTGAATCTCATCTTACGATAATCCCGCTGCTTCCCCAGATTCTCTCTCTCAATTCCACAAAACCAACGCTCATTACCTAGCAATCGTAAGAGTGAGATCCTTTTTCCCCGGATTTCTGGGGTAGGTTCTGCCTGGTTTGAATGGTCGAGGCGAGGTCTCGATGCGGAGGTGGAGGGATGAGGGTCATTCTTGGCACGGACCAAGAAATGGTCGGCAATTGGAGTCGGCAACTGAAATTTGGAGACACCAACTCAGAGAGACTCATCATATTCACTGTGTTACAGTCTGTAAGAGTGAGTGAGTGTATCCATAATTCAGCAATAATTACGATGCATTCAATCACTCAGTGGCGATATAAAAGTCTATCCCACATGCGTATATCCCACTTGAGTAGCATATATCTCGGCTGTTATACTCGGTTCTTGTCTATGGCATGGCATCTATCATACAGTGAATACTCTTACAGTCTTACTCTTACATGCTCTGTGCTCTGTGCTCTATACTCATCTTCACCATTCCCTAGTTATACCCATAGTCACAACCATAACCACACCTCAACATCAACTAACATAAGCATAACTAACCCGTCCATCATGCCATTCCCTCTTCGGCCTCACCAAACCCCCGGAATAACAGCCCACCTCCTCCCAACCTTGTCCTCTCCAAATCTCTCCAAGTACCACCTCCGTCCCCTGACAGCCCTCGGGAACATGGCGAACATCTCGTTCACCAGAAACGCCCTCGCAGGCGCGCATCCCCAGCCCGCCGCCATCCAGAACCCTGCCCACTCTACCCACTCGCACAGGTAGTGAGGGTACAGCACGTACCGGAACAGTCCCGCCTGCGGAATCTGGTAGTGCTTCTCCACGCCCTTGCTGCTCGCGTGGCCGTCCAGCTTGGCGCGCTCTTGCCGCTGGGCCTCGCGCCGGCGGATGTCTCGTAGTTCCTCGTCGTGGAAGAAGTTGCCGGATAGACCGAGATAGAAGATTAGAATACCTGATGAGAATTGCAATATGGATGATTGTGTTGACCATGCTGCTTCAGTGGTAGGTCCGTAGGCTGCGAGCCATGATCCAATACATGTTGCGTTGCAAATCTGAAAACTCAAGCCGAGCAGCCACACAGCAATGTGCACCGGTGACATGGAAGGCTGAAGATACGGAAACATGACAGCGCGGTACGAATAGTGAATCACCTACATGCCATCCAACGTTAGTCTTCAACTCACTGACTTACTCCTCATAACGCTACCTCGGGTAGGCAGTTCAAGCCCTCCCCCTCAACGGCAATACGCACGGGAGCATAATAAACGAATTTGGGGAAATATCACTTACAAACAGACCCGCAAGCACTTTATTCTGCCACGGAAGATCGTCGATTCCATGCTGCTCAGGAAGAACTTTCATCAGGTACAGCAGCGTCAGAAACCCAGGTGCCTCCATGGTCAACCAGCCAATGCGGCCGGGGAGGTTAAGACGGCTTGTGACTGAGGTTTTGCCCATGCCATACCAACTGGTAAGCCATTGCATTGAACCAATCTGAGAGAGGTTAATTAGAACATGTATTACTTCACGTGCTCTCTTGTTTTTAATAATGCTTACAATTGGGTAAGATATCTGCCAGACTTTGAGGATCAGGTCGTAGTTCTCCCGCGTGGGTGGTAACCACCCTTCGATAATAGCCATGATGACAGCGTCTGCGCCTCAACAACGCTGCAGAAAAAGGGTTCAATTCAGTGAAGGAAGAAGAGAGTATTTTTGTTTGTAGAAGAATTGATCAATGATGAAATTCAAGGCGTGTTTCCATGATGTCAATAAGGTTGAAGCGGCTTCTGTAGCTGCGCAACGGCCATTTTGACACTCTCCACCGCCTGTAACAATTGCCCATAACGGTCGGATATTTAGTACATCTACCCCTGGCGTGTCACATCAGATCGATGATGCAGCTATCAGGATGTAGGAACAGCTTCCGTTGCTCTCAATTGGGCTACGATAGTACTGTAAGACGAAATATTCATATTGGATCCTCTTCAATAGGTAATATATTTAGTCTCACGGAAGGGGGTATACAGCAATATTTGAGTTCCCTCAGTCGATCTCAATCAACTGCCGTGCTCTCCAAACTCAAACATGCATCAGATATTGCCTGTCTTCCGAGGTCCCTTGTAACATTGAAAGACAAAGTCATTTAACTATCACATGAAAGAAGTTTACAAAGTCATTCTAGTACCTAGCTTAAGGTGTCACAAGCTGTGGTGCTGAGTGAGCTGCATATATGGTGAGACAAGGAAACTCGAGATGTAAATGCGAAATAATGGAAAGACTCAATATATTTATCATAAGATAGATTCAATAGACCTTGGACTAGATGTTCTTGGCACCTTACCATGAGATCAGAGGCTCTTACTCCCTAAGGGCAGATCCAGCTACACACATATTCCCTCACTTAAACATCAATAAGACCTACAAGATATACTGATGAATTAAAATGTATTCAGATACACCCGTCCATGCTACAAACACCGCTAAACTCCTAACTACCAATTCCCAAATCAAGACTCCGTCTCTCATATGCTCATAAAATCACATCACAATGCAGTCCCTCTCCCTCTGCCCACCGCCATTTACCCCTACCCCCGGTCCCGAAGGCCGTCTGCCCGCAGACTGCCCAAAGGGTCTCTGCCCCACTGGCATCGCCGAATTCACGCTCGCAGCAGTGCTGGTCTGCCTCGATATCGTGGGGCTGCTGTTCGGGTGGCTCGGGTGTCCCACCGGCGGCTGATACGTCCTGTCGTGCGCCGACTGCTCGTAGGAAGGCGGCGCATCGTCTGCTGCTTCGTCCGCTGGGCGTGACACGGGTGGTCGCGGTGGTTGGGCTGGGATGAGGGATCGTACTCTTTGGGCGGGTATTCTGGGCTGTGCGTTGGTTGTGGTTGTGGTGGGCGCGCTGACGGAGCTGTTGCGTCCTGGGACGAGACCCGTGGCTCCTCTGGTGACGCCTCCACCTCGTGGAGCTCCTCCTCTTGCAGGTTGTCCACCTCTTCCTCCTCTACCTCCAAGGTTGCCACGTGTTGCATTTCCTGGTTGAAAGGCCTGTTGCTCGATAAATTGCTCTGAAAGTATGCTCTCTCTTCGTCTTCGCGCTTCCTCTGCTCTATGTCTTTCCTCTTCTTCCTCTTGTAACTGCAATGCGAGAGCCAAATCTCTATCTTCCTGTTCAGCATTGGGACTCATCGGGGGCTCATCTTCATGCCGCCCTTTGCCCCTTCGGTTCTGTACTGTCGTCCATTCTCCGCCATCGTTGTTGGAGTAGTTGCCCGCACTTGTCGAAGGAGCAAGACCGCCAGATCCCACAACCCGGAAGTCGCCTGAAAGATATTCGGTGTTGCCACCATTGACATCTGATAGTGTTTCCCATACAATTTCATCATGAGACTTGAATCCTGCGTCAGTCACAAGTGTGACGAGCTGCATCGACTGCGGATGACAGTACAACGTACTGAAATGGTCATTTCGGAAAAGAATGGCAAATGTACCAGGCCGAATGGCTTTACCAATAACTTCAATACCCCAAGGCGTGAGTTGGGTCGCGGAATTATCCAAGAATTCCTTGATTATGACAATATCTTGGTAAAGCTGCTGCTCATCCTCTGTAAGTCCGCCTTCAGGATCAGACAGCTTCTGTTCGAGCTCTTCCTCTCGAAAAAGAAGATTCTGTGCATCCTCATAGGAGGCGGCTTGTCGTTCCAGCGCTTCATACGCATGTTCATTTTTTGGTGGCAACCATCCGTGAATCAATGGAATCGAGAATGTGGCATATAACCCCATTTCAGCCGTGTTCTCAAAAGTTCCAGGGATCAAATCTCCTCGCTCTGCAGGATGTAAATGCGTCAATGATGTACGCTTGTAAGCATTTATCATACTCTCTGTAGGGACAAATCGCGGATTGACGTTCATGCCGGTATGTAAACTTTGCAGGAAAGCATACAAATCTCCAACATCTGGCAATGCATCTTCGGAACTGGTTCGTCGTGGTGACATAAGTTCGTCAAAAACAGCATCCAGAAGCAGATTCAAACTGACTTGTTCCCTCGATCTAAGAGTTTGTACAAGTGCAGTATCTTCAACATCGGCAGGTGTTGTCATGGTAAGTGCGTTGACCAGAGCTACAAGAGGACAAGGCCCGTTTGCATTCTGTATCAAGATTGGGGATATTCGTGGGTTCTTTGACGAGGTTGCGTCGTGCCATTGTATATTCTTAATCTGATAGGTTTCCGTCTTGCCGTCGATCGGGTCTCTGGAGGCTCTCCAACTTGACGGTTCGGTTTGTAGTGTTGGTTGCCTGGGTGGCAAGGGTGGCTTCTCCTCTTGAGGTTCCTTCATGGGACTAGGCGATGGCTCTGAATCTATCAGGTTCCAATCATCCGGTGATGCTGCCCTTGCTTCTCCTGTGGCCTTGGCCTTTCCCTTATCGGCGCCGCCTACATCGTCCCAGATATTTGTGTCCCCAGTGAATTCTGCGGAGAGCTTCATAGGCGGCGCAGGAGGTTTGTCATTTGTTCCCAAAGGATCCTCATCCCAAGCAGGTGACTCGCGGCCAGAGGGCAGTGATACCATACCAGGTGATCCGGCAGGAAGTGGTTCTGGCGTGGGTGTCCATGCGCCTCTAGGAGGGACATCGTCCATGAGATTTGGAATCGGTTGCGGGGCTGATGGTGCAGGCTGCACCTCTATCGCGGGTTGCCATGGGTTCGTATTAGGTTCTTCGATACCAAGTTTCGAGAATGATTCTGTCGGTGGTGTTTCTTGTCTTGAGGGAACTTTCTTTCGTAGAAAAGGGTTCGTTTCTGGTCTATCTCCGCCTGGTTTCAACACCGCAGGCGTTTCTTGAGGTTGTTGCTGACTATTTGGCTGTGTCCTCGCTTCTCCCCACGCCTGTTGCTCATCTTGGTTATCGAAAGCGATTCCAGGTCTGAGGGCCGCAGGAACAGCTTGAGGGTTCGGTCTATCTGTTGAAGATGCTTGTCCGTCACGGCGGGGTCCTACATCCTCCCAACCCGGCTCGTTCCCTCCTTCGGCCCAAGGATTATTCGACATCGCTTTGACTTTGATCGTATTTGAAGTAAGTTTGAACTTGGAAACTTCGAGCGTCAAAGTAACATGTCAAATAGGAGGTTTCAATGATCCGTTTGGTCGTTGTAGCTGATGCGCTGCTACCACACGCGGGAGACTGCGGGGAAGTGATTCGAAGTGGTTCTCGAAGCGCTGTGAGTTGTATGCATGAGATCGAGAAATCTAGGGACCAGATCTCTGCAGTAAGCGTCGTATAGTGGTATTTTTCGCTTGATTATGTTGATATCCAGCTCTTGAAGCTCTTCTTGATCGCAACAGCAACAGCTTGTGTGGGGAGATGTGTCGTCACTGGGTCCCGCTCTGTACGTGGCGGTGCAACGTGAAACTGAGCAATTCGCTGAGAAGAGAAGCTACTATGACACAAGAATCAAACTGACTGGAGGTCTTGAGTTCAATGCGAGTTTGTCTTGGTTGGAAAGCGAATAATGAGGAAAGTTAGGTAGGCATGCGCTGAGCTGAGCTGAAAAAGCTGGGCGGGTGGTGGTGCCTGTAATGTACTGGTAGGTACCTGAGGTACGTAGACCGCGGGCGTCAAGTCTGCCCCGCCCACTTCCATTTGCTTATGGACCACCGCCACGGGCCGCGAACGATGACGTGGGCCTGTCGATTCAAGTATCAAGCAAGCTAAAGAAGAATTATATACCATTCCTGTTATTGCCTCACCGCTTAGATAGGCAGCATTACAATTCATGATTCTAAACCTGGTCTCGCTTGTCCTCTTTCTTTTGGTCAAGATCGGCTGGGAAAGATAAAGTCGCTTAAGCTAGCATTGGCGATCTGAGACATGCCGACTTACACCGCGACTATAAGTGAGGATAATATGGGATAGATAACTATCCATCCATATTAGGACAGACATTTCGATAATCATTCTTTCTTTTACTCATTTCTCATGACAATGCATCTTTATAGACTGGGGAATGTCTCAGTGGACGGAGTAAGCACTCATTCCTTCATGATCCACCAAATGTCTTAGACTCAACGGTCATCCAACGCTCAGACCAAGGGTCCAATAGTCAGCCATCCAAGGGGAGGCAAGGAAACACCTTGACCCTAACCGCCGAAAATATTCAGGTAAATCTAGCCTAAACTGAGGGGATTCATTACTGAATTTATTTTGGCATCATCCCATATTCTCAAGTTTCCTTACTCCCCGAGGCCACCCAGAGAATAAGATATCTTGCGGTGGCTGGCAGTCAAAAGAAGCGATTGGTGTGCATTCTAAACGCAGTACAACAAATCTACCTCGGATTGCATCGTCTTTAAACCTCCCCTAGGAAACCACATCCTTAAGCATTAAACGCTGCTGAATGATACATAACTTGATTATGGGCGTCGTCCTCCCCTTGCTTGCTTGCTTGCTTGCTTGTCAGGTCCGAGTTTCCTTCGTCGCCATGCAGTCCCAGAAATGCCACAACGCCAACTCCTATACAAGAAAAGTATATAATATCCGCCTGCTCACGGCGCGTACGTCGTTTAAACCTTCACCCCAAGATTTTGCAGCCGCTCACAAGACGGCATTGTGTATGTCTGTGCGAGTGCCATCTTGTCAGGGTCCTGGTAGAACCAGCCCTGAGCTGCATCCCTCAATCTCCGTTGATATATCAGCTCGTTCTCACACTCGTTCTTGAGGTGTCTCAAGAGCTGATGTTCAGCTGTACGGTCGAGCTTGTTGAGCTTCTTTTCGGAATATTGGGCAACTTCGTCGGGGTTAACGTAGTAGTTGACATTCAGATTCGGTGTCGTGCGCTGCTCGGTGTACGGGTGCAGAGGATTGTCGTAGACCATGCGAGGCCCTGATGCCGATGTTGTCGAAGACTCGCCGGAGAAGAATGATGTGATGATGGGTAGGATGAAGAACAAGATGATGGGCAGTAGACCCAGGAACGTTTGGAAGGCGTTGCCTTCGTTCTGTCGACCACGATCGGCCTCTCGGGGTCGCGTTCTCGGCCTAGCTCCGCCAAACTGATGAACCCTGATTCCAGGACCTCCTCCGAAGTTGAAAACAAACTGAGGACCTGTGTCAAAGGCTACAACATTAGTACGAGTCTCATCTTGCTTGTCGATTCTGCTCACCTCCGAATGGACCACCACCGCCAAAGCCACCTCCGCCGAAGAAACGAGCAAACATCTCCTCCGGAGTCAAGTCATCCTGGAACATCGGGCCACCTCTACCCATACCACCACCACCGGCTCGTTGATTGAAGAAAGGATTATTCGCCTGAGCGCTGGCGAATCGACTATCAGGATCTGTGCCGAACTTATCAAACTTTTCCCTCTTCTCTTTATCGCCTAGAATTCCAAATGCTCTGCTGACCATCTTGAAGGCCTCGTCCGCATGAGGGTGTCCATTCTTGTCGGGATGGGTCAGAAGCGACAGCTTCCGATACGCCTTCTTGATCTCAGCCTCGGTGCATGTGTCCTTGACGCTCGAAAGATTTAGGATGTCATAAAACGCAGTGGCCTCGCATCTTCGGATACGAATGACCGCTGCCTCTTGGTCTGGGGTGAAAGATCGTCCCTGGTTACCCTGCTTATGATCGCGAGATCGAGCCGAGCCACCCGTATCAGCTCCGGAAGCCGTTGCGCTGGGCATCGAAATTTTAGTTGTTCTGAGGTCGCTAGGTGTCTGTAGGAGTTGCGAGGTACGATTCGTGGGTCGTACGTTGAGGGTTGACGATTAATAACTAGGATTTAAGTTTGGCCGTCGAGAATGCGGGAAGAGGGAAAGTGGCTTCTTTGGGAGGTGACAATGGCACAGAAAAGGGCGTCGTCGAAGAGGCGAACGCCGTATTGGTCGGGTTTGTGCTATTTGTGGCCGAATCGCATGAGGAATATGAAGCAATCGAAATGTTGTTGATATGGCGATGCAAAGGGGATGCCAGAAATCTGGTGTTTTCCGATCGGGCAATCCCTACTTGGTCTTTGGGGGACGCCCACTCTCACCATTGCGTCCATCTCAAAGTCTCGGCTCCACGTGATACCCCACCACTCAATCTCATTGTTACCAATCATCTTACCCTGTATCACTTACACGACAATCAGTCAGTTCAATTCAATTGACCTACGACATCTTGATGCAAATCTGAATATTCATAGTGGGGGATTAGACTCTGTTCTGTACCTGAAAGACTTTAAATATTGGATCCCTGCCAGTGTCGAAAATGCTTCCATAGACAGCCGTAGCGTGTCGAAGCCCCTAGAATTTGGGTTGGCGTACGAAGATAAACGAGGTACCTTGGTCAAAGCAGATTGAACAACATATGGCTATTAAAAAATGTTGTATAGATATAGGTCTGAACTTTGACTACCATTTAGTCACCGTGATGTAATTGTGTTCTCATGCATAATCACAATAGTAGAGAGTCGGTAACCCACAGTCAAAGGACCGGATATAAAACAAGAAACGTTGATTTATACTCAAGAAACTATATACGTCGAGTAAGTATTTACAATAATCAGGCCCACAAGTCACCTCGTTCTCTTCCCCTTCCCTAGCTTAAACCTTGTCCACGACATCGCTTACGCTTAAGCACCAATGAACTGCTTGATCTGAGGAAGAACCTTCTTGTAGGCAGTGCCAGTAGTAGGCTCCATGCTGAACATGTAGTCACCCCACCAAGGGCCAGCAGCCCAGTACAACCAACCAGTCCAGACATCAGAGTTGTCAAGCAAGTGCTGCAACTCGCCCTTGAGCGCAGCAATGCACTGGGCGTTAGCTCCGCCAGCAGTCTCACCAAGAATACCCTTCTTCTTGTTGGCCTTGAGCCACTGGGTAGCAGCCTTGAGGCGCTCAGCACCAATAGTAGAGCTAACGCAAGTCTCAGAGGTACCAGAGGAGTCAGAGTCGAGGTACTGGTGCATCTCGTAGATGATCTTGTTCTGAGGATCCTTGAGATCCTTCATAGCAGCGCCGTTGCCGCTGGAAACCCAGCTCCAGGCTCCGGTGTAGGCGTTACCCTCCACAAAGATGTACTGGGAGGTTGCGCCGGCCTTGCGGATGGCGTCGACGGCGGCTTGGTTGAGAGCAGCGACGACAGAGTTGTCCATGTCGTGGTACTCGTTGTTGGTATCAAAGATAACGAGCTTGTTGCTGGCGAAACGCTTGGCTACCTTTTGCCACCAGACGCTAAAGTCAGAGCTCTTGATGATGTTACCGTTGAAGCGGCCGTAGTTGTGAGGGTCAATAACGGCATAGTGGCCTCTGAGTGTGTTAGTGAAGTTATGTCAAGATGGGAAAGGCATTTACTGACTTGCTCGTGATGTGGTTGACAGTGTCCTGGAGACCCTTGAAGTAGGCCTCATCAATGGCACCAGTGATACCACTGGGAGTAACTCGCTCCATGCGGAAACCGACACGGAAGGTGTTCATACCAGTGATAGCGAGGGTCTACCATGGTCAGTACCATGGTCAAGTTATAAGTCAAGATACTTACATCGATGGAGCTCGTGGTAGGCCAGATGTAGTCCTTGTTGAGCGTTCCAGGGAGGTTACCCTCACCAAACTCACCACCAGACTCATTGGAACCAGTGAAGAGGAACTTGCCCTTGGCCCTCGTAGTATGAGGAGCAGCCAGAGCAAGGGAAGCGCCAGCACTTGCGAGAAGGAAATCTGTGAACCGCATGTTTGCTAGAAGGAGTGGATATTCGTTTCTTGTTTCAAATGATTGTAAGAGGATCGATCAACGAGCCATGAAAAGCAGAGCCAAGAAATACAGGAAACATGGCGAGTATATATACACATTTCAGCTTCGGCCCAACTTGCAGTAACGCATAGCTCCCTTCGTAGCATGTTCATTAAGTCGGGATGTGACAAGGGCCAACCTAGACTGACTATTGATCCTCCGTGAGCCCATATAGGTATAGACTCGGTCGATTTGCACGATTCAATAGTTTCTCCAGATGAAGTGTAGAACATGACCCGGTTTGGTGGTAACTGATTTGCCGGTGTTCCCTGTTTGTTGGGCTGAAACAGGAGCTAGGCCCCCCTGATATTTCACTAACACGCCGCGTTCCCGGCACTGAGCATAGTGAAGCAAGGAAAGTTGAGATGATATTCGTGGAGTAGAGTTGTATAGTAGTTCTTGGCTGAACATTCCAAGACTAATGACAGTAACTTTCATACTCTATCAAGGCCACTTGACTCGTTTCTGAAAAAGGCTTCTTTTTCCTTGTAGTCCTCCTATTAAGGAGTAGAACATATCAATGACGCAACTTGTCGTACAATTATTGAAATGATCATCTCTTGTTGAAACATGTATCTTTATCTCGTTGGTGGGATTCGTTTTCCGTTTACAACGCCCATATTAAACCTCAGGTGAGAGAAGCACAGAGGTGCCGGTAACCGTGTTGCACTGGGGTAGTCACGTGCTGCAAGTCTCGGACTAACCGATCGGAAAAACAACCCCCGGCTAGATCCGTCGCATGAAGCTTGGTGATGCCAGCCTGAAATTTCGAGGGAATGACATGTGCCAGCGATAATGCACGCGACACGGGTTCTTCTCAAGCGATCAGTGTGGAAGGGTATGTCAATTTCTATGCTGTGATATTGTTGGGTGCTAATATTGCTGATAGGGCCGCACTTGGTACCGTAAGCCGACGACCGACTCGATTATCCTGACAATTCTAACATGCGATAGCCTACCCATTGTATGGCCCAAGTCTTCTAGCGATAAGGTGCCCCCTGTGCGAACACAGGCTCGATCAGCCACGATTCTGCCCAACTTTGTCGGTCTCAAGTTCGAGGTGCACAATGGAAAGGATTACCATGAGGTGACCATTACAGAAGATATGGTTGGACACAAGCTTGGCGAATTCTCACCGTAAGTCTCGGTCTAAACCGAAAGACGAATATCTTCTGACTGAATGTAGAACACGAAAGCCAAATATCTGGGACAAGAGGTAGAATATCAAATAGGGACTGGAATCTGGGTATACCCATGTACAAAAGACTACATGTAACATCACTAGAGCAATGACCTCAACGAAGGGATCCATTCGCATATTCAGGCGATCTATTGCAACCAGCTATGACTTTCCTGGTTTTCATATTTGACATCATGTACGGACCCAAATCCCTTCCGTGAACGCCGAACCGAAACGCCTTGCAGTCATGTAACCAAATCCGTACTCAGCGGTAGAACTCGCTACGCTTGACGTTGACACCGTACTCTCCAACAGCCATACCAAGATCTTCCATGGTCAGAACAGTCCTGTTCTGGCTACCGCCTTGCCCACCACCTCCGTAGCCCGGTCGCTGGATACCCAGCGGTGCGCCCTTAGCTTGATCCTTGCTTCCAGGCTGGCCAGTTGGTTGACCAGGAATAGGAAATCCGGCAGCTGCACCAAGAGACCCCATAGGATTGTTGGTGTTGGAAGATGCGCGGATTCTGCTGTACTGGTATGCATCTGCGGCGATGTCCGCGATGAACTTCTGGGTTGCCAGGGCGAGGAGTCGCGCAAGGCGTGGATCGGTCTGGGGAGGTGGTGGAAGACCGGCCTTGGTCATGTAGTAGTGTGTGACTGCGTCGGGAATCTAGAGAGTGTTAGATGAGTTGCATTAGGAGTCTGTGGTGCGTACAATCGGCGCAAAGTCATCCATCTTGTTCAGGAACTCTCGTAGCGAGACATCCTTGCGAGTTGGTAATCGAGGATCGGGAATCGCTGGAGCGGGCGCTTCATCAGCGGGAGCCTCTGGCGCAGGAGGCGTCTGCTCTGGCTTTTCGGGCGCATCACTAGCCATATTGAAAGATTTGATGATGCGATGTGGATTAAGATGTTGAAGATGAAGTCCAAGCGATTGATGCTCGACGCGTTAAGAGGTAGAGTCACGTGATTCAATGTCATGGTCTATTGTTCGGTTTGCATGAGCCGCAAAATGCCAAGAAGCTTAATGGAACTAGAGAAAGCCAACCAGGCACAATCAAATAAGCATAAACCAGCATTCGTAGTTTCTCATGTTGTATTTCCCTGCCTAATTATTTATATGCCCCTTCGTTTCTTCATTGAATGGTGCCTTGAGCTCATTACAAATGACAGAAATAGCAGCATTCAACGCAAATAGACAACACTCTATTTTGACTTGGTACAGCACTGAAATCAACGATCCCTTTTCCCCAAAATCTCCAAGCCAAACGGCGACGCCATTGTAATTACCGCCTTTGTTGACCTCCCAAACCAACGCCGTGCATGCATCTCCAGAAGCCGGAGTTGTCGTGACCAAAAACTGTGGTCTTGTCTTGTCTTGCCTATTGGGCTACTTCATCGTTACAGTGTCAAAACGTATAAGACGTGTTTTTGAGAGCTTGGTGCTCTCTTTCGTACAGGTATCTTTGGTGTCTTGTTGATCGTTTAGACGGGGAGCTTGAACTTCTTGCCCTTCATGACCTTGGTGTAGTAGATGTAGAAGAAGTCGCTGTACAGAACGGTCTGGACGATACCAGCGACGATAGCGATGGTGTCGACCTTGTGGTTAGTCTCGGCGAAGTATCGGTAGATCCAGTTGGGGATGTAGAGAGCGCGGTAGCTGCCGAGAGCGAAGAGATAGTGGGTGGTGATGGTCTCGGCCTCGCCGGTGCGCTGAAGCATGAAGAGCTGAGGAAGGATAGCCACAGACTCGAGCCAAATGGAGAAGGCCCACAGAATCTCCGAGATGGTGTAGTGATAGGGGAAGACGATGGCGAGGACAGCAGCTCCCGCGAGGAGGTACTGGACTCGGAAGGTGTCGACATTGGGATCGTTGGTAGGCTTGTAGGCGTTGGTCATGAGGTAGATGATGTAACCTTGGGAGCCAAGGAACATGATCTTGAAGATGAAGTTGTAGATGCTATCGGTTTTGAAGAGATCTGGGACAGGTTAGAATGCGCTTCTGGGGTCTGCTGATGGGAGTCGTACCAAGATAGCGGGTGATGTAGACGAGCATGTAGAGTGTCTGCGACTTGAACGAGATACCCGAGCAGCTCTGAAGACGATTAGTATAGCTGATCCACAGCGTCTGACAAGGGAGGACCAACGTTAAGCTGCACCATCTTGTGAAGCAAGATGAAAATGGAGCCGAGATGCGAGAAGTCCGCTGTGCTACAAGTTAGCAAAGAGCTCAACTAACCCATCAATTCCGCATTGTCAAAAACGTACCAGCGACTCGGAAAACGTTCAAAGGCATGATTGCGGTGGTGTTGTCGCAAAGCTAAGATAAGAAGTTTGAAGAAGTTGCGAGATAAGTAGCTGCTAGAAGCGCAGCGAGGGGGGAAGCGAGCGACAACCTGTCAAAGGCGGGTGAGTACGGATACAATGGAGGATCGTTCGGGACGAGGGTTGGATGGTGATGGCTCGAGGGATTGACAAGGGGAGCTTGGGAGAATCATGAATCTTGAAACTGAGCTGAGCTTTGGCTGAAAAAGGACACGACGCGATTGCAAGCTCATTGGGCCATCCAGCTACGTAATGTCTCGCATGTGTCAGGTTGAGCGCCACAGTATTTTATTTTAGCCACACTAGGGGGAAAGAAAACTCAGGACCTCGATCCTAAATGACAAAAAGACTTAGGTAACTTGGTCTAAGTTTAGTATAAGTTTAGGGCAGATTTAGGAAACCATTTGATGAGTTTATTTTGACATGGAATGTCAAAATCTGAAGATGTTTTCGTGCTCCCCAAAGCCACAGTTCAGGGGTATGTGACTGTTATCATGAAGTTGTAAGTGAATTTAGGTAGCATGAACCATGGTCCAGATAACGACATCATGAGAAACAGGCTTATACAACTCACTCCTGAACCGTTGCTCTTATCATGGACATCATTCAGTCATTGAAATCTCCAAGGGGAGGCCAGAAAATTTAGGAGCTTGACCCTAAGGGATGAAAAGACTTGAATAATTTAGCCTAAGTTTAGGGGACTCTTTACTGAGTTTATTTTGGCATCCTCTTCTAAAGTCCCAGGCAAACACCAACTGATTCAAGCACAGATATCACATCACGAAGGCTCCGCTTGTTTTTTTTCTTTATGTACGGTTGCAGTATATTTACACTAAACTAACTGCGGGGTTTTTATGTGAGTTTTCGTTGTTGCAGAACACGCAAGATGATCGAGGGCGCAGGTGCCGTTCGCCATCCAAGCAAAGTAAATCCACCAGACATGCCTGACCTATCCCAAGGCAGCAATAAACGATACTTCCTTTGGCATCCGACATACGCATATAGTACCTGCATCCATCCCATAACCTCTTAACATCCAGTTCGTACAATCTTGGCAATCCATCTTCAAGGCAAATCGTAAATGGCAACCCATGAACTCCCACCATCCTCCTCAACTACAACTGCAACCAGCTATTCCAGCTGCGAAGTGCTCGGAACGCAGGCGGAAAACACGAGCTCCGTCATAACATAATGACTCTAAAGTCATCATCACCTCCAAATTTCAGCTTTTGCAGGCTGAAGATACTCCCATGGCAAACCGAGCCGTAAGGTGTATTACAGACCATGCGCTGACAGGACAGAGTCTTCTACCTCTGTCCTCCAAAAGACATGCCCAAGATCCATTGGGCAAAGTCGATTGGTATATTCTGCTTTCGTTTCGTTTTCATTTCGTTTTTATCCTTTTTTTCTTTCTTTTTTCTCTTTTTACTCGAAGACTGGTTCGGCTTTTATTTCTCGAGCCACTTCAAGTTACCTGGCGAGAGGTATCTGAGGTGTCAACAAACAGCAGGGCGGTACCTGGAATGTTCGAAGGACCGCAGATCTTGCTGCTCTCTTCTTCGGGTCGCCCCTACAGAGAGCTATGAAGTTTTCCTCAAGCGTAAAAGGGTAGCTTAGGAAGCGGCTCAGGTAAAAGACCACAGTTGATGCTACCTGCGATGCAGAGCATACCGCAACAACTCATCGGAACCAGGTCCTGCTTAATCCAACATGTGTGATCGTATGAAATGTTCATGACCATAAATATTGGGGACTCACTCACAACTCACAGGTCTTGGGTCACTCTCTGAAAGCAACCCGGGTCCTTAGAGCTGTGGTGAGATAACTTTACCGGCTATGACAGCCAGTCTTGGGGTATCATAAAGAAATGAAAGAAACTGATGACGCCAGTTCGCCGCCAACCCGTTTCCATGTTTTGTGTTTGGTACCCCTGGGGGTTGTTGTGTTTTTATGTTGTTTTTGGTCGCCGTTGAAACAACACCAGGATCCTCTCAGTCCAACCCGACCCCCTCAGGGGCTAGATCGCTACTCAGTTGAGTCCCTTGATGACGTCCCGTGCCAATCTTCTTAGTCGCAGTCGCATTATCGGTCGTGATAGTGGATCAAGTGCTCAGTAGCTGTATTCTCACGCAAGGTCTCAAAGCCCCCGGCGTACTCACTCGTCCGCTCTCGAAGCTTTACGCAGCCATACAGAAGCCAGCAGATGGCATTGACCGCACTATCAGTCCCAACAAGAGTTGAAGTATCAGTTGTAGCAATGCAGCAAGCAGTGCCTGGTACGTCAACTCTCGGGCCTCCTCATCTCTTCACAGGCTTCAACCACCTGGTGGGAGAACTTGAACGATGTTCAACTCTTCCACGACATGATGAAGAACCTTCTCCGTACTCTGCCCCCCGAGTGCCGACCTGCCACTCATGAGTTTTGGCTAGGTCATCCCGAGGTGAGTTGAGCTGCGTGACTTTTGTTTGTGCCAAGAGCAATACTCCCGACAGAACAATAGAATATTGGCTTTTCGCTTTTTTCTTGTGTTTTAATCTTTTTTTTTCGGTTTTCTGTCTTTTTCGGTTTCGTTTTCTCTCCCCCGGCGTCTCTTTTCGAATATGGAACCCGGCAAGTGGACTAATAAGAGGGAGGATGATTAGTCGACGGTGTAAGTGTACCGTACGATTCGTCGTTTACTGGCAAAGTAGATAAACTTGTTGGGACAACGTCCCTGTCGATATCAGGCGTCTGAAAAATAAAAGCTTCTCCGGAAAAAAACATGATACGGCCTCATCCTCTCAAAGGGGGGACGGCATATGCAATATGTAGAGATCGATAACTCGTAGCTCATGACATGTGGAGCGAATAGATTAGAGCCGTAGCCTGCGTACTGTATGCGTACCAAGCGGTATGGCGTATTACATGAATGTATTACATGAGTGAATATGTATGAATGAAGGAATGAATGAAGTGAAGAAAGTCGATAACAAACACGACATCAAAACATGCGTGAGGAGAAGAAAAGAATCATGTTCCAAAGGGGAGCATCTCGTCCTTATATAGACAAAGGATTAGTCTTCTCAACTCAAATCCAGGGTCGAACCCCTCGGTCTACGTGTCCAAACACGTTTTGTTGTCGTGAGTTTGAAGTTTGATTCGTGAGTTTCGAGGTAGTTTCGTAATGTGAGTGTCAAGGACTTGCCCCGAGAAAGCATAACCAATGAGTAAATACGAGTCTGTGAAGGTTTATGGACAATCAAGCTTCAGCAAAGAAACTCGATGGCGACACCATCCAGGTTCATAACAAAAGTCATATCTTCTGTGCTAGTTGCTTCTGAGGAGAATAAACTTTTCTCATCATCCCAAGAGACACATATGTACCGAGATCGGAGTGCCGTATCATAGAAGCTTTGAACTCTTTTTCTGTGACTTTGAATTAAGTTTATAGAAAACACCCTGTATCAAGAGAGAACGAACAAATCTTTGGTTAAGTTCAAGCAGAGTAGCCTGATCCCTGTTCTTATTCCCCATTCTTTGATTTACACAACCCTGACTAATGTATCTCGCTTATACAGAAGCGAGAGCGAATTCTGAGTATGAAAGGTTGTCTTTCGATCCCGTAGACGATGCTCATACTTACGAGGTATCAAAGTCTATTTAAACCCCGCACATGAATAAGCAAAGCCCTTGGAAAGAAGGTCTTACATCTCAAAAATATCCATTCCAATATCATTTCCCCAGAGCAATCTACAGACGTGTAGTCGTAGCAAGCTAAGTTCGAAAATGACCATAGCATGTGATCATGCCATGATATTACCCCTCTGCCCCTCCAGAATCGCATTATCTGCATGAGGTGCAGGCGGAGCCGCAAGATATGATAACGCCCGGTCAAAAGAGCAACTGGTTATGGAAGAAAGTGGCGACCACTTGAGATCCAAGAATCAAGAAGATCAAGCCATGGAGATTTGAACGCCATGATGGCGTGTTTGAGGCACAGAGGAGCCGCAGGTTTGGCCAAATCAAGAAGGCAGAGAGCCATAATGATCAGTCTATTATAGCCTCAGGTTCTATAAATAACGGAGAATTTCTCGGCTGGCTTCACCACTCTCCTGATTTTTGTTAGGCCCCCATAGCATAAAATTCTCCAAAGCTTTGTGGTTACCAATGAGTGATCGGTCCATAGGTCTACTAGGTAAATGGCTTGAAGTAATTCAAGCGGCTGACGGCCAGACACTGGAATCCTTATCACAGATAAAAGCTTAGCAGATTGGTTGCTACGGACCACTCATGAGGAGTCAACCGCTTATAATCGAAAATATGTGACTTATATTAAGACTGCAGCGTTGTCTGGGTTGCACTGAAAGCACTGGTAACTAACATAGCTTCAATTGTGAGCCGTATAATTGAGATAAACAGAGTGTCAAATCTCAGTAACAGACTTATTGGCTGGTTGAGCAGAGCAAGTCACTACCTTCACCAATTGTCTCTAGGGGAACTCAACTTATAGATGAAGGTAACATAATTAGCTGTAATGGGTTAATCGATTACCATGTATCACACTTGAAGTGATGTCTGCGCTTGATCTTATAGGACTTCCGGAGCTGTTGCAATGACAACCAGGAGACACTTGTTTCAAGCATGAAGCACTCGGGAGCCACATGAAATGATGTAATACTGCAAACAAATATTTGGAAAGAGTTCTCAATTGTTCTCCTGTTGCATTGACATGCCTGCAGGTTGCCCTGATAATCGACACAGGAACAAAGACACCACAGATCAAACATCACGAATAAAGCACACGATTCACAGCTCATCATCCCTTGCTATCTTATGCTGCCTGTTTCTCAGGCATATAACAAATTACTGCTGTTCACTCATGTCTCTTTCACGACCGCTCTCGTCTGGAACAAAGACGAGGTCAATCTTCTCCCAGGCAGCTTTGTCGAGATGTATATGTTCGGCTCCCTTTGGACTCGATTGTATGAACATCCATTGATGCCTTGAAAGTTCATTGTATGATCAGAAATCAAGCATAATGTTCATCCTCGAACCTCATATGACCATATAATGCAGCATGCTACAGATAAGTTGATCTCAACCCAAGCATTGTCGCTCACTACCAGTCAACATAAAATCCCAGGAGTCCCCTACCATAAACCTCGACTAGATGCCTTCCAGTCCGCCCAACTTACATCCAGACACAGAAACAATAATTGAACTCTTGGATAAGGAGCCCATCAGAATGTTTACACTCAACTGCATCCCCCCCGAGGACCCCCCTGGAGGAACACCCTTACCCATACTATGGAAATGTCACAGATGCGAGCAGGAATACAAGGTCGCCGTCACAAGCCGCTGTATTAATTGCCCTTCATACAACAGTAACCCTCCCTACAAGTACCTCTCAAGCGAAAGCTCAGACGGCGGACCTACCAGAAAGTATCGACCATCTCCCCTCTCAGGCAATGATGCTAGCAGATCTACTACAGAGACTGAAAAGTCCCCCAAACGCCGTAAATACTCGAAACGCCCATCCTTAGAGCTGTATAACTACGACTACGAGTTCTGGGTTCGATACAACGACTGGAAGCGCTTCCGCTCAGAGTATGAAGCTCGACCTGAGACCTGGGAGAGCCGTATCAAGCGCAGCTTCGATGGCCTGGATAGCGTACAGGGTCGAGCAAAGAGGTACAAATTCGAGGTCGAATCACGCACTTATCTCGCGGAGGAAAGACTGCAGCGCATGCTTGAAAGACGGCAGAACTGCGAAATAGACTGCAACTATCCCAGTCAGTGCCACACAGAGCGCTACGAAGCATTTATGAAGAGTTCTGAGAAGGTCACAGGAGGCACGTTCCACCCGACGAACTATGATGATGATGATGATGAAATGCTAGGTAAGTTGCCCCTTTGTGAGCTTATGCCGCAGTTCGATCAGGAGATAACAAGTCCTGAAGATGTTGAAGAGGATGAGGATGAGATATTCGCGGCGTACAAGAGGGATGTTGATGCTTGGTATGCTTTAACTCTGGCGAAGACGAGCTAAAGAAAACAAGGAAAACATTGAGCGGTGATGAATAGAAGAGAAATGATTTGATGTTAATTAGGGTACCATAATAAACTGGTTTAAAGCTGTACTAAAATATCCTGAACTTACCTGAGTATTTTTGTCACCTGAGGACAAAGGTCTTAAGTCTTCTTGCCTCCCCTCGGCTAACATGGAACAGATATTCAGGGTTGTCAAGATGAGATAAAGAATAGGATAGCAAAGATCATGGATGTAATGGGGAACTGTTTCGAGTGAGCGGACAATAATAGATAAACATCATTTGAATGGATGTGATAGCTTCATTAATCCACATTCCTTAACACAGACAGATCATAACAAACCACACTCATTTCAACATTGAATTTCGATGACTAACCAGGAACTCGTATTTCCGTGTCTACCTAATCCAGTCCATCAGCACAGCGGTTCCGTGTCGCATCTCATACCAGACCAGACCAGACACCAAGGTGAAAACACAACTGTTGTACACAGCTCGCGCAAGTCAAACAGCACAGGGGATTTCGTCATAGCGTGAACCCTCTCGTCATTGGGTATCGGCTTCTAGAGCCGACCCCGAGAGCTCGTCGTGTGCCTATTGAAAGCGCAGGCGCCCTCAGCTATCCAAGCTGTGGTCGTGCGGACGTCCGCTCATAACTCGACGCGACGCCCCCATTGAATTCGAATTCAAGCATTTCTGCATTAACATCCCATATACCGGTTTACTGCATGTCCCAAAGAATAAAAGCAAAATAGAGCCTTAAACGATACGTCTTTAGCCTTCAAGTGCCTTGGCCTTCTTCTTCTGCTCGACCTTGAGCAGCAGAGCGCGGTTGATGTGTGGCAGGACACCACCGTAGGCGATTGTTGCACGGATCAGAGTGTCGAGCTCTTCGTCACCACGAATGGCAAGCTGGAGGTGGCGGGGTGTGATACGCTTCACCTTGAGATCCTTTGCAGCGTTCTGTGATGAAATGTTAGCGTTAATTCCAGGCAACAACATGACTCATAAACTTACGCCTGCCAACTCGAGGACTTCGGCAGTCAGGTACTCCAGAACAGCTGTAACGTATACGGCAGCCTTGGCTCCCACACGCATCTTCTGTTGGGTGTTCTGCTTGAGGAAACGCTTGACACGACCGCAGGGGAACTGGAAAATATCACGTCAGTACGAGTTGAAATGAAACCAGCAACCCTTGATAGAAGTATTTCCCGAGCCGTCTTTGTTTGCGCATTCCGTCATGTCCCGTTTCAACCCCAACATGCATACAAACAACGTCAACAACCGCCCCAGAATATCGGTGCCCAGTTGCCGAACCGTCGCAGCAGCTCAAACGCGCAGCGAGGGCCAAATGCAGGATGCGCTGTCAATTTGAAAAGATTTTCTCGTCGTGCGGAGATGCTCGACGCGTCGGGAACGGATCGTGAAACTTGAGATATGTGGGATGCGGGACATGGAATATGCGCAAATCGGGCGACAAAGCCAGCCCGTCCTCCTCTTCTAACTCTCAGGATGAGACTCACCTGAAGACCAGCACGAGCAGAGTGGCTCTGCTGCTTCTTGGTGCCCTCAGCAGCGCTCGTCTTGCCGCCGGAGCTCTTTCCGCCAGAAGACTTTCCCTTTCCACCAGGCATTGTCGATATGATCGCGTAAAAAAGTCGTAAGATAAAAGTATCAAAAATTTAGGGATGAACGAATACGGGTTCGAACGCGGTAGCCGATCGGTCGAAATGACGATTGATGTTGTTGATGTGAAAAACGCGGGATCGAGAGTTCGTAGTGGCAGAAATTTAGCGGGCTGCGGTGCGGTGCTGATGTTGTTTCTTCAGGCAGGCTCTGGCGAAGGGCGAGCTTGCGTGAGATGCGGTGCGGGATTGGATGGTACAGAGGTACATGCCTCAGGTAGCTTCTGGCTGCTGGAAGCTTAATTGCTCATTGCACTTGGCCGATGAAGAAGCGCTTCTCATTGGCTGAGTGACCCGAGATAAACCCGGCCATCAAGCTGGGCCAGCAAAGGCTGTGTGAGAAGAGGTCCTTGGTTAGGGATCACCAAAACAGGGTTTGTGGTGCTGCAAAGTCCTCAAAAAGGGTAAATATAGATCAAAGAAAGGTAGCATGTTCAAGAAAAACTTCTTTCAAGCTCCTAGAGGTGTTGGCGGAGGAGCTCTGTTGATACTTACTTGGCTCATCTCATCTTCGTTTGCTGTCATGCTTGGAACGGGTTGCCGCATATTCACAGCTGTGTCTCACCCGGAGATTCTTGAATGCCATAAAGATGATACAGCATGTACTGGCATGGCTGCTGGTACAGAGGCGGTATTTTTTCGGTTTCTGGCAAGTCAGGGCATCTTGGTAGACACTTGATGAGATGTCGTTGTGTATTGAACAGTTGAAACCCAGGCTCGGTTTGGAGTTGATCATGTCCCGCTGTGGCTGAAGTGTGGCTGTTCTGGCTCCTGTTAGCCGAGCATTTACCTGACTTACAACCACCAAACCGAGCAAATGCTATTATCTTCCTTGCGTACCCTAGGTTGGTCTAATACTTGGAAATCAAGTTGACATGAGCATTAAATGGACCTATCAGTCAATTTTCATAACATCATATTACCTGTTCAGATATGTTTCTCCCTCGGGGTATGCGTAGAGTCTCTCAATCTTACCAAGCCATCCGACCAGGTCTTTCACACCTGTCGAGGGCCTCAGCCCAAGTATTTGCGTTTTCGATTTTTGCCAAACGCATTCCTCATGTATTATGCACGTAGCTGGTCGTGGTCGAGACAGTCATCCAAGACACTTCCGTCCCGATTACTGTGTTCTGCTCTCTTGCTCGTTTCATGTTGCAATATCTGCTGCTGGCACTGCACTGCACTGCAGGGGGGCCGCCACTATGAAGGCGCCTTCCACATTCAAGAGAGGAAGGAAGGCGAGCTTTACTTTCTCTAATTTTCCCACCTTCTCCCGCTATCAACGAATTACTTCATAATTTTCTCTCAACTCCTGCTTGCAAATCTTTTCGTTGCACATCACCAAGCCCCTAATTCACTCTTCAGTAATCCGAGGGAGCAAGAAACCCTCACATGTTTGGCATGGCTACTGCTACGAGGGTTCACCACTTACCGCCAGAGACCCTCGACAATATTATATCGTTTCTCCCACAAACTGATCTAAAGAATCTGCGACTCGTCCACCACAGGTTTTCGCCATTGGCCACGCGACGGCTGTTTCGCCGCACTCGATTACTCGCCCGAGCCAAAGAGAACAATAACCCTCAACGTTTCATACAGCTCGCCAAGTCTAAATTGAGTGGACTTGTCCGGGAAGTTAGCTGCGATATTTCCAGCATAGTACACAATGGATTCTATTATGCGGAGCAAGACCAGTTCGAGTTCGTTCCTATCTTCTGGGATGCATTGCCCCTTCTAGCTCGCTTTCGAAACATTCAGACTCTGCATCTGTGTTTTGACTCCGGCTTCGCATTGCATGATTTCAAAGCAGGCTCTAGTCAGTTCAGGAGTAGGGTATTGAAGACTGTTTTTCGCATTTTGATGGGCACATTCACTAAGGAAGTGCCAAAAACCATCGACACATTTTCCAGTGCCTCAATCGAGATTTCACCCTCTGACACCCCGTCATATCCGATTACTCTATCCGCTCTCATAATTTCCAACTTAGGGGATTATCATGACCCGGAGCTCACGAATATGCCCGAATTCAAAACAGCCATGGAAAACATCAAGGCCTTGAGGCTTGACATAGCGCAGCACAAAGGAAGGTGGGGAAGATGGGAATTCACAGAGACAACTGCGATCCCAAATCAATGCCAAGAGATGTTCACTCAGCTACCTCTCACTTGGCTTTCCTCGACGGTCGCTGCCAACCTACAGGTCCTCTCGCTACATTACCAGTCATATTGGGGCTGATTCCCCAACATTGATATACGCCTTATCGGCGGAGGTAACGGAATGCTCAAGCTCAGAAGCCTTTCATTGGGGCACTTCGTCTTCAGTAATCAAGGTGAGGTCGACTGGATAACTTCTTTAGATCTCGAGGAGCTTTTCCTCGCAGGCTGCGCCGTCCTGGCCAAACACATTGGCCATCCAACCACACAGAAGGGCTTCTGGACTGTTGGCCGCAATTTGTTTTCAACGGCCAAGATTGGGGGAGAGGTGGAGAGGACTTGTTTGTGTTGGCATGAGATCATTTGGAAAATTCGCACTTGTATGCTAAACCTGAAACGATTTTGCATCGTCCGCCAGCCAGGCCTAAGTTACCACTTTCGAAAGTTTTGTGAAGTCGAAGGCCTTAGCGACTCCGAACTTTCCTCTGACCCAAACCTCTGGCAACAATTTATGGACCTCAGCGGATGGGACCTCCGGTCTTGCGAAACGGCGTTTCAGCACTTTACATGTGCCACGTCGCCAAGGTTGTGCCTCGAATCAGACGCTTTTCTCTGCTCCCGTTCCGGTCCTTCTACGAGCTTTATTAACAATTCCTCCGGCTACAATTATGTTTCTCACAATCCCATATACACAGAGCAAGCCTCATATGAGGATATAGAAGCTGGCCAATTAATCAGTAACATGGAAAAATTGGCGACGATCGAGGTTATTATCCTACATTCTATGTTGTTCAAGAAAAACGAAGAGCAGTATATGGGCGCTGAAAAGCTGAGACTGGTGCCGAAGATGGGCACTCATGACACGAATGGATACATGACAGGCTTGCTGAGCCCTCTGCTTACATCTCTTGAGCTCTCTCTTCTCAAGAGGACATTGTATCTTTCAGACCTTTGATGAATCTCGGCAATATGTTTCTTGAGCAAGCAAACACATGAGAAGAATGTTTTAGACCCATTCAGAAGCCAAGTAAGGCAACCCTCGTGCTGTTGGTTTGTGTTATCACTGACTTGTTTACAGTTATGATTGAAATAGGCATGCGAAGGCCAGGGCGTGGATGAAGACAGAATACAAAGGGGGAAAGACCAGTCAAGAGACATGTCTGATACCTGTGATGCCGGACTCCATCAGCTGAGTATGATATTTCGATTGTATCTAATGCATCAGTCACTCCTTGGAATTCCGTTTGCTATCCAGTGAGGATGTCGTGAAAACGGCCAAGCTTGTTTTTGTGGGTGGAAATATCTTTACAGTATTGGGGACATATGTGTACCAGATAGCATCACGTTCAAAGATCTACTTCAGATGTGTTCCGTGAATCTTCGCACAATGTTGACAGAAAAACTCGAAGCAGAACGCTGACGCCAAAGACAGTTCGCATTTGTCTGCTGCGTCGCGTCACATGAACAGTGTGAAGCAATTGAGAATAACACCCAGTCAAGGTCAAAGCGGCTACTATTGATCAGCATGTTTAAATCAAGGGCGGACTTTTAGGATTCTAGTCCACAAACTGTGAACGAAGTTATGACAGCAAGAGTGCCGTGCAGATGATAGGAGGGAAGTGAAAGGAACCGACTAGAACACTTCCATGTTGCACTCTACAGAAAAGAAATAAATCAGGGAAGTCTTTCCAACGTAATATTGATTTAATCGCGATATCTCACAGATAGTAGTACTGAGCTTCACTATCTGTCTCGCTAAGAGGGTCACATAGTGTCTGTCACCAGGAAGTGAGGGATACCTACCGATGAGGCGGTCCAATCCTCTGAGAAAGGACGAAGATTCGACTCTTGACTTATCTCCAATCACTAACTTCCTTTAGAGAACAGGCTTCTATTGCAAACCTGAAGCTTCAAACCTTCGTGTTCGGACCATTGTCAACTGGGTATCAACACATATGATCCCTTAATGAAGAGATGATGCATTACATATCGAACGAAAGCCCCAGCGAGTATTTCACAGTCCCAGCAAAGGATCTTTTTGAAATGCCATATAATCTGTCCCAAACTTCTCATACTGGTATGTATGTCCATTCAGCGTATGTATCAGGAAATTCCAGTCTCATCTTCTTCGTCCATACCCCTACGAGATTGCCGAATGAAACTCATGTATTGAACCAAAAATAAGTTACTGTTTTCACCCTAAGCGGAGTAAATGCGGTGATAACTCTCATCGGCATGCCTTTCATTCTGCTTCTGGTTGATCTAGTTCCTCTGGTTGTCGCTCATGTATGGCTCTCTCTCAACGAGCGAACGGCAAGACACACAAGATTGGGGAGATTTCTTTTCTTGCCACTCGTCAATATGTCCTTTTGTAGTTCAAGAGCTTTTATCAATTGGTCCCAGTGATCATCTTCCGTTTTAGGGTTCTTTGCACATCTGTGCTTCACTGGAAATAGAGGATTTGACGACAAACCCGTGTCAGAACATCCACGCGGTTTTTGACGCCGTGTAAGGCCATTTGAGGTCATTCAATACCTTAAAGAACAAGTCAATCGGGAAGTATGTAAAGGTTCAGTTGATTATTGTGCTGATTTCACTAAAAGATTGCAAGTTCCAGTGGTGTGATTTGAGTACTGTATCTTGAAGCTGAGTGGCTAGTCGTCCGAATTCATCACCCATGACAGCGACCTCCAAGTACCCATTGCCATTCCATCCCATATCACGAGATTTTGAATGAGCGAGGGACAATCTACTTCTTGACGTATAACTTGGGGCAATTTCTCTGTTCCTGGGCTGGTCTTCGGCCCAGTGTTCAGTCTCAATGAGATCCGATGCGGGATGAACTCCAAAATGGTCGGCATGTCGACCCATGCATAGGTCTGACCTCCAAGAAGACACTTAGGAGCATAGCCACGAGAAAAGTACAGTCGGGCGTAGGCGTTGATGCCACTGGTAATATTCTTGAGCTAATGTTCGGTTCATAATGGTGCTCATCTTAGTCCACTTGGTGTGGAAGAGCTTGTGATATGCGTCACGGAATTTGTCACTGAATCAGGTCGCCAACATCTAGATTCTTATAATGAGCTTCAGAACCGACATCGATTTGCTCGCTGTCTTTACCTCACCCATCTCGCTCAAGTTTCCTCGTCCTCTCCTTGTGTCTCACCAAATGTATAGTATCCATGTCCGTTCTACATAGAAGCACCTGATATGCCATAGCAGCCTCAAAGCTGTCACCAAGACATGTACAGCCGCTTGCAAGTATCTTACCTTCCTTGATGCTTTCGAGCTCAAATTAACTTGTGTGAATGGCAGGAGTCATATAAATGTGAAATCTTGTTGATAGATAGGGTCGTGGGGATGCCTTCAAGACCTCCATGTCTTCATACAGCACTCGTCGTGTTTCTTCGGGATGTACACCTAGTCAGTTAGGCTCCTTCTCTACCCTGCACGGGTTGGCTACGTAGGCATCTTGTCCGGCTTGGTTGCCTTCTAAATGCTTGCTGCGACGATCTCATATCGGATGTTCTAGTGAGGTCTGCTGAGCCGGCCTGTCTTTAGACGGATCAGATATCGTTCAGGAGTCCTGGCGGTGTGGACTCGGTGGTAGGATACAGGGCGAGATATTGCAAAAGTGATGCTGGGTGAAGAATGGTGACCTAAATCCTAGTTATATGGTGGTATTGTGCAAGGGAGAGAAGACAAGACATAGATGGCTGTGGTTGTTGTCCAATGCTGGTCTTTGGGGGTGACAGTGAGGATGATCAACATGCAAGCTTCTGGTTATGTGCTTCGGTGATGAAACAGCCAGTCCAAAGGTCTTTTAATATGATCTAATTTGATCTCAACTTTCTAATATCTAGTTAAGCCTTTTTATTATTTAGGATAGAGGTCACTAAGCTTTCCTGCCTGCTCTAGGCATTTATGCACATGACCACATTGTTGGACCCAGTGGTTGGTTCATAGCTGAAGCATTACAGCTCACTTGGCATGTGAAAGTAGAAACAGTATCTCGATGTCCATTCGAATCTCATTACAATATCATCAGTGAGAATGAGGGTGAGGACGACGACGTGCGGATGGCCGCTACTAGAGGGACCTGGTCAGATCATGCCATGTATTGTACTACAAATGTAGTTTATATGACAATCAAATATCGCACGTTCTGATGATCTCCAAACACAAGAAGTTATCAATATCTACAAGGCGAAGCTCCAAAGGATTAAGAAGTCAAGATGGTGAAATTGAAGTGAAAGGGATTGATGGGCGACACGCAGACCTCACGGAGCAGGGAAGCTTCGGACGCTCAGCTCAGGTACCAAAAATAACTACAGCAATATTCTAAATTTACCCTACGTCTTTTTGTCATTTACCAGTTACTTACCCTTGGCAACGTCGCTTCAACAGATCCGGGAATGGCTCCGTAGTATCAGCGAAAAGAGGCGAGTTGAGAGCTGAGTCTGAGTGGTCAGTGGTGAGTAGGCGAGTCGAGCTGCATGCTGCAGCTGCAGCCGTAGCTGCGGGCAAGAGGCGAGGGCGGAGGCCTGCATATTGGATGCCGATAGAATGGCACTTTGGGAATGATTTCCACGGTACTGTAGATCTAGCGTCAGATCCTGTGTCGCGTTGGTGCCTGACCTTGCCTCCTCATTCACTCACTAAGACCAAGTCCTCTGATCTTCACAATGAAGCAGTGGCAAGTGTCATTGTGGCGATAATATCATGGAAGCAAGCCGTGAGGCTCATCTCATGGCGAAAAGGGAAATGGGGCGTTACAGCGGCTGACGCCGATCCCCCACTAGGCTTGAATGATGAAACATTCACTTCTGGTTGGTGACTTGTAAACATGGGATCAAGACATCAATCAATCCTGAACCTGCTGGAGGTCTCGGGGCATGAGACATCACAACGTCGTAACTGGGCCAACTTGGAATCTGTGGGTGTAGCCAAAACGTCTCATGACCGTATTTACTCTTGTGCATCATGTTTCAATGAGACACGTGCTCTTACAAAGTGGTGGGCAACAAAAAGGTTGGACAACCATAATCATGACTTCAAAGCAGGGTAGACAGGACTCAAGCTTCATCTACAAGAATATTGCACATCTTATGCTGCATGGATATCATATATGCTTACTCCATAGATCGGTTCACAAAGGATGCCGCCGCGTGTTTGCGCGGACAGACCAACAGAGAACAGACCCGGGGAAAAGATCCGTCTGCCGGAGCTTCTAGAGCATTTTCACGAGGGTTCGTTCATCTTAAAAAAAAGAGAGTTCAGGGGTGTCGACTGTCGGCCGCGTGATCTATGAGCCGCCATCTCCGGGGGAATGGACAACCGAGCGACGGCGAGATGAGGCTAAGCTGGGATGCCTTGGGAAGAAAAAGACCCTCTGTTTTTTTTTATGTGTAGGGGACAACGGCGAGGCGAAATAGGATGCGCTAGTGAGGCTTCTCGAATTTGACAGGCGAGCAAGAGAAGAAAGGAGATGAGGGGCCAAGCGATGAATACCGTCTGTGGTGACATGCTTTGTTGACCACTCGTTGCTTGTAGATGAAGTAGGTCTGCAACATACATGAGCTTCATTCGAAGTGTGATCCACCCAAGTTCGATATAAACAATACGACAGACCAATACAGAGGGCAAACTCAACTGGAAAAAAGGTCTGAGAACAAGCTCGTTCTCTTGCTCTTGGTCATAGACTCAGCCCCTCCAGCTAATCAACGCTCAATTTCCAGGGACCCGGGTCCCCTCGCTCGTCTCTCCTGTACCGTACCAGGGCTTACGGACATGGGACACGAACGACGACCCAAAGACTGGGGAGTCCCCTGAGATCAGGCTGGGCCCCTGATATCGGCCCAGGTGGGCGGGTTAGGATGACCCTGGCCTCGTCATGGGCATTGGGAACGAACAAAGAGGGGCAGAGTTTTGGAAGTTGGAAGAAGCACTGTAGAAGTAAAAGGGGGTTCAGGAAATATTATCACCTCTTGTCAGTTCAGTTCAGTTCAGTTCAGTTTGTCGTGAAAGAATGGGCTTTGTGTCTTGTGTCATGTGTCTTGTCTTGTGGGCAATGACGTGTATAAAATGGGAATTGTGAGGATTGGCGTCTCCCAGGTGATGCATATTTTCTTTTTCCTCCCTCTCTGCGGGCTCTTTTTTTGTTTTTGCCAAAAGTTTATTATTCATTAGAAAGTCTTACATACTTTTTGTACTCCACTACTTGATTGGCTTCCCGTCCGACGGGCCGCTCGCATGTACCGCCGTAGACGAGGAGACAGAGAGTCCTGCTAGTTAATATGAAAGTCAAAAAAAGAAAAGCAGCTTTTGGCTTGCAGTAGAGATAAGTCAGGTGCTGTTATGCATACGCTCGGATAAAAGGCAAAAAAGTTATGGACATTTGATGGCCAAAGTGTTCTGTCAACAAACAAGCGGTAGACGATAGCGCGTACTAATGAGAAAAGCAGGGCAGCAGACAGACCTGACAGGGTCAGGAAAAGAGCCGCAGCAGCATCATTGCACGTGGCTTTGACGATGAAGAAAAACCTAGAATAGAGTAGTCGAATTTCCGCATGAACATGCCATTCTAATTGAGGCATCTCAAATCTCCCTTGGCAACCCCTGGAAACACGGTGCAAGTTGAGAGAGGGAGTGAAAGAGAGACAAGCCATGTCACCTCGTCTCTGTCTCTTCTGTCTTGTCTGTCTGTCTCTTGTGTGATGGAGAGTGACTTGACTGTGTGAGGGAGGTGATTACGCTGCATGAGCTAGGTATAGCTAACGACAACGTTAGGTTAGCATCATCCGGGGAGCTTCAGTGAGCAAGCCGGCCGGGTGTGTCATGAAGGAGGAGCTAAAGATACGATGCGAGATGGAGGATGGAGCAGAATCATTACAAGATGAGACGCCAGTTAGATACGATACCCAGCCAAGATTTTCCGCCGGTAATGACTATCGATCTGCGGGACTGACTTGTCTCGTCTCTGTGAGTGTTACAGTTGGATGCCTCTGACTGACAATGACAATGACAATCTCATCTCGACTCTTTTCTCACACCATCCATTGCATCCCCTATTTCCCTTGGGTAATGAAAGTATTGGAACAGTGCTACCCAACAAGCTGAAAGGATTAGAGGTTGTGCTTCATAGCCTACCTCATCCGTGCATTATATCCTATCCTAACCTATGCTGAACTGTGACCCCAACTGAGTCAATTGCAGGTTCATGCATCACATCGAGTCAGGTCTTGACTGAGAGTCATTTGCTTGATACCCAACTGAGCTGGTTAAAAAAAAATGCGACACGCAGGCAGGCTTGAGCTTGTAACCTATACGTGCAGTAGTATACCTCTAAAGAATTAGCTGGTGTTACCTGGCGATGCACGTAATACCAGATCTGAATGCATAGCGGTATGCACAACATAAAAAAGTCGCTCCAACATTTTTTGCTAGACATAATAACATCCAATCCGTATGTACGTCTCTCGTCGATGTCCACAGACACAAAGCAAACTCCCACCACAATTGGGCGTGCCCAATAACATGCGGTCCACTGAACCCTGAGCTAAGAGATACCGGTGTCGGGATGACGTTGCTCGCACTGTTGGAGCATCTGCCACAGTTGGACTTCCAGGGATAGAGCATCTGATTTGCTTCTCTACAACCATCACGAGGTGTCATTCTGCAGCCTTTCCACAAAAAGCCTCAGCATCGAACATCCAATACCATCAGCCTCTTGTACTCTCAGCCTTTCAAGAGGCTGACGGCGTATCTCAAATCAAGGCCGACCTACGGATAGTTAAAGTGGTGGCTTGACGAAAGCCGGCCAGCCTCCCCTCGTTCCCGGGCTCAATCACTTAATTTTTTTTTCACAAAGCCCCCACCATGAGCTAAGAATTTAGAAGTGCATTTCGATCTAACTCACTCAGAGTAAGTGTAGTAGGGGAAAAAAAGAAAGGCTAATATTAGACACTGTTTAAAGGTAGCAAGGCTTTCATTAACGGTCGAGTTAACCGGTATTGCTAGCGAATTAGATACTACCCAAATAAGTTGGAGTCGTTGAATGAATGAATGATACCCGACAATTAGTAGTGAATGGATGGATCTCTTGAACAATGGAATGGTAAATCTCAAGGGCCACCTCATGCATGGGGTCCCAGAACAACCCCTTGATGAGCATCTCAGGGGATGGGCATGCTGGGGGTTCCACAGTGGACTTCTGACAGCTGGAGAATAATTGAACTGCGCTGAAAACCCCACCAATTTGCGCCGGGCTTGGGGGGTGTTCACCTCAACTAAGTTCTTCTCAGGTGGCTCATCACAGTGTAGGCACTGTGCTAACGACGCCGCCCCATCCCACCTCGTTCGTTCATGGATCCCCAGGAGAGAGGGCAGAGAGAGAGAAAAAATAAGGGCCCCTCTGTGGTGCTGTGACTGCTGAGGAGTCAGGACAGAACCTGAGAGGAACCTAAAGCTAGAGGAAACCTGAAGGGATTGGAAGGGAAAGTTGACGGGAAACTATTCGCCGTCCGCTGTCACCTCCCCAACCACATCCACCTAAACTAATTGATCCCCTTCTCAATCAATCAATCAATCGAATCCTCTCTCTTTCTTTGGTTACAACACCCCCGTCTCCCGTCTCCCGTCCGCCGTTTTCCCGTTCCAGATCATCCATCCATCACTGAGAACGTCCCGGACATTTTGCTAACTGGGACCTGTTCCATCTTTCTTCCTCCCCGTCCGTCCCCTTTTCTACCTCTGACCTCTCTCTCTTTTAAACCTCATCATTTATCCTCCTCCTCCTCCTTCCCCCTCTCCTCCCCCGATTTTTAGTCGACCTCTTCTCTTCCTTCTTCCTCCCTCTCGTCTCGTCTCCCTCCCTTGATTACTCCTCCTCCGTCATTCGCAAGCTGGTTCAGCCACACCCCAACAGCCCTTACGTCTACGAAAACCTCCATTCGACCTATTTGCACCAACGAGGAGACGAGGCCATCGCGCGAATACAATTCCCCCTTTCGCACGACTATTTCTTGCTCATTAGTAGTCTTTTTATTAGCTGCTTTTGAGACGTCGCTGGTTTCCAGGGTCATCCGCCTATCATCTTTTGGCTCCCCCAGAAATATCGAACTACGACCATTAAGTAACGCTCTTTGACGTTACTCCGCCATTTTTGCCAGACCTTGGAATCTAGGAATCTGGTTCATTCGGCCTCCTTCGTTGTGCTGGCTGTATTTGTGCGCCTCTATCGCCACCCAGGACCTCGCAGCGCCTTCGTTTTAAGCCTCGCGCATTTGTTGCCCGAGGCCTCAGTCTTGTTTTCGGCATCTCGCTACACCTGACGGAACAAACTTTTGTGGTCATTGACCCTGAGGCGAAACCCCCGAACCTTGTTTCACTCGACTCTTCTTGAGCACTTTATAGACAGACGGTTTCTTCTGCGCCTGGTACCCTCAACTTTACTTAGCTACACCGCTTTCACGACCGAGACCCACGAGCCAACGATTTGATGCCGCATTTTTAACTGCTTGTTACGCATCCCCCGATACCCCCTCGCGTCCGCATTCCTGACACGCTGCACATTCTGTACGTGTCAGCTTGATATAATCCTCAAGAAAAGCAGGTAAAGTCGACTGCTGGGTAAAAACAGCAGCTATTTGCCAAGCTGGATCCCGTCATCACAATGTCGCAGCAACCGCACGATATGGGTTACCTTGACTATGGTACATCAACCAATCGCTCCCCGAACTCGAGACAGAACTATGCTACAGCGGGTGGTTTCGCTGGCCTCTCGCTACCTCGCCAGTCCCAACGCCCTTTTGATGCTCCCCTAGGCTCTTCTGCTCTTTACCCTGCCGACAGGATCGGAAGTGGGTACAACCACCGTGGTATGGAGAACATGGCTGGTATGCAGGGTTACATGCTGGATAATGGTCAGGCTTGGAACTACAACACATCTGGAGTCGCCACAGTTAACGGTGCCGTGAATGGCCCTGGACGACAACGAAACGTGAACCGACGAGCCGCTCTTCCCCAGGTATGTACATACGGAAAATTTATAATGACTATGTCTGATCAGAAACAGAACTGGACCGACCACAGCGCTATTGGTATTCATGGCAACCATGGAGGTCTTCAACCCTACCAAGGAGGCATGAACAACAACCCCATGTCAAATGGTGGTCTCCGTGTTGAGCACCCCGGATCTCACGGCTCTCCCACTGATCTTCGATCAAACACCTCAGACGCCGACCAGCTTATCCCTACAGCTATTGTTATTAAGAACATCCCTTTTGCCGTTCGAAAAGAGACTCTGGCTTCTATCATGCTTGACATGCACCTCCCTCAGCCATATGCCTTCAACTATCATTTCGACAATGGCGTCTTCAGAGGTCTGGCTTTCGCGAATTTCCAGTCTGCCGAGGATACACGCATGGTGATTGAGGCGATGAACGGCATGGATGTCCATGGCCGTAAGTTGCGTGTCGAATATAAGAAGATGCTCCCTGAGGCTGAGAGGGAGAGAATTGAACGCGAGAAGCGAGAGCGACGAGGTCAACTTGAGGAACAGCACCGTGCTCCCATGCTTCACCAGCAAAGCTCTATCCAGTCACTTGGCAGTCTCTCACAGTCCCAAGCTAGGGGACCGTCGCACCTCGGCATGCTCGAGACATCTCGTGTTCAGTCTCCCGCACTGCCCATGCCAGCCGATGTTAATTTGAACGACCCCCAGACTCTCCAGTTCTACACCGAACTGGTCATGTTCCGTCGTGACGATTCCCAGGAAATCCTGGTCTTCCCTGCTGGTATCTCTCCCGAGCATCGACGATCCATCCACATTCTCGCACACAACATGGGCCTTGAGCACCAGTCTATGGGTGATGGCGAATCGCGCCAGCTTACGGTGCTGAAGCGACAACAGCCGTCACCCACCGCCCACATCCACAGTCAGCCAGGCACCAACCTGGACATGCATAAGCGTGGCCTCAGCCGGGCTGCTACATTTGACTTTGCTGCTGACCGTGAGACACGAGCTGCCAGCAGCAATTACTCCCACATGATGGGTCGACAGGGTCCCACTATCGAGCTCCCGGGGAGCCCTGAAGGCAACGGCATCCCCAACAACCTTCGAGCCGCCAAGAGCTTTGCTGATCTGCGATCCTTCACCCCCAGCCCTTCGCAGGCTTCCTCCAGCTACCTCGCTCCATCGGGAATGAACAACATGGGTGGTAGCTCGACTGCTGCTCGCTTCGGTGACTACATGGGAGGTGCCATGTCACCTTCCGGCCACCCCGGCAACTCTGGTACCCCTGGACCCAAGAACGACTCTGCTCTTCTGAGCAGCCTCAGCAGCCTGAACTTGGGCTACGACTCCAGCTCCATGCAAAACCAGGCACGAAGCACTCCTGGCGCTATTGGCAGCCAGCGCCCCGGTAACAGCTCTAAGGGAGCACCTGAGCGACAGCCTCGCGGACCTGAGTGGGAGACCAATGCCGGATTTGCTGGGCGACGTGCTAACGGCCACGCCACGCGCGGTAGTGGTGGTACGTCAACCGAGATTTGGAACAATTGAACACTGGCTAACTCAAGATAGACTCATCCGACAATGGAGCACGCGTCGGTTCAAGCTCAACCAACGCTTCGCGATATCACTGAGTGTGATTCTTTGGCCACCCCTTGACGGGTTAGGCCGACTACAAACTGCGCGTATCATTACGGATTAACGACAATGACCACGACGCATTGAAATTTTGCATCGCATTTGCTTTTATGACTTGTAATACCGACATACCTGGGGAAGTGATGGCAGGAATTTCACTTGTCTTGTTGAACCCCATTGCATATAGTTTACGTGGGAACGGTTTTATGACTTTTGAAGATTGTGGGGGACGACAGTGGCCTAAGGAAGTGTGCGTGTAGCCTGGCCGACTTGATGACAGTTACCGATGAGAGAGAGCATGGGATAGGATATCTGGATACACAAATGTTTTCGACACAACTGGGCAACCAAAGATGTACAAGGTCACAGACTACAGACAGAAGCACTTGGCAGCACGCACGCATGCACGCATAACCTGGAATACCCTCAAGGACGTATGTACCCCCGACAAGACCTACGACCACTATCACCACCACCACTTGACGATTATGACGCTTTTACGACGTTACGTCTAGACAGCTATACCGGCTTCTCCTCATCAGGCTGTTCAGCGTCAGCAAATGGGAGGGGTTGCCTCGGCGACTTACAACCTACTACTATACCCACCAAATCAAATCAAATAATTTCTGTCTAGGCGCTGTTCCTGGCATGACCGCGACGATGAAGACGACACATTTGGAGACGCCCGAGTCCGGCTTTTGGACCAAGGGGCACTGAAAGGGGCCGATGGATGGACGAGTGCCAAAGAATATGGGTGTTTTTTGAGTCGATGCCCGGCCCGGCCCCGTTGGAAGGAAAAGAAAAAAGTTACAATATCTGGTTATCTGCATTACAGTTGAATTGTCTTGGTTCATGGTTCATGGTTCTGTTACAGTTTCTGTTTATTCGTTTTTTATTTTATTTTTATTTTATTTACTTTTATGTACGGATGGATGGCTGGGAGTGGTATTATTCTGATATCTCACTTGATTAATTCTTGATCTGCCTGGTCGCGGTGACTCAAGGAGAGTTAGAGATGGGGTGTTGGCATGGGACGCGTGTGGGCTATTTGGCTACTTATCGTTGAGAGGAGAGAGATGTTCTGAGGAAGTTGTAAACACGAATGAGAGAACGAGCAGAGAGAGCCAAAGAGAGATGAGATATGCCTTGCGAACAGAGTGTACTGATTAAGCAGTGACGTGCTGTAATATGTGTTGTGTTGTACTTTGGCTGTTTGAATAGATGATTTGCTGCTTGTATGTATGTATGTATATCACCCAATGTTTGACCACGCATTATGAGAGTTACTTTTCAACAACGCATCATTGAGATCCACATCTTTGTATTAAAACTCGAGCGTCTACTCATCTTCAACTCGTGTGATGCAACTCATAACGTTTCGCCGAGCATCAACAAGACTTGATTATTAAGACATTTCTTCATCACGGGCGTCGATACCTGAAACGATCTAGTCCTTTCCTCTGATAGGGCGACCACTTTGAAACCTCATCCACCAAAAGCGACGTCATCTCCACTTGTAAGAGAAGCATTGACTGATAGTTGACGTCGTTTGTTCATCGTATTGATACCATTTTCCTATTTATTTTCATTATGGCGAGCTTTATCTCTTCATACCTACCGTTCGGAAAATCAAAGGACGAAAATATGCCGGCGCCTGAGAAGAATAGACAGTGGACTACGGGTCAGGATGGCCTTGATAAGCTTGCTTTTGGGGAGGGTGAAGTTCCCACGCCGAAGGAGGGGGAGGTTTTGGTCAAGGTTCTTGCTGTTGGGTTGAATTATCGCGATACTGAAGGTAAGTTGTTTCTGATATGGAAAAAGGGAGGTGATACTGACTGTTGCAAGTTATCAACGGTGATTATAACCACCATGCCTCTATCCAAGACACAGGCGCTCTGGTGCCTTGCTCTGATATGTGCGGCACCGTGATTCAGAGCTCATCACCAAAACTCAAAGTGGGCGCTCGCGTCATGTCCATCTTTAACCAGACGCATCTCACAGGCCAAGTCACTGAGAAAGACATGGCCTCTGGTCTGGGTCTCCCTCTTCCGGGCGTTCTGACAGAATATCGCTGCTTCTCAGCCGATGCTCTCGTCCCCGTGCCCGAGTCCCTCTCCGACGAGGAAGCAGCGTGTCTCCCAATCGCAGCAGTAACAGCCTGGATGTGCATCAACGGCATGCGACCGCTCGGCCAGCCAGCTGACGGTGCTAAGAAGATGGAAACTGTTCTTCTACAGGGAACAGGTGGTGTAGCGATTGCAGGACTACAAATCGCCAAAGCAGCTGGTCTAAACGTCATAATCACTTCCTCATCCGACGATAAGCTCGAGCGCGCGAAGAAGGATCTCGGCGCGGACACGGGGATCAACTACCGCACGCACTGGGAGTGGCAAGAGCCCGTTATGAAGGCGACGGCAAACCACGGCGCGGACATCATCTTCGAGACGGGCGGTGCGCGAACGCTCCGCAAGTCATTCGACTCTGTAGCCTTTGGCGGGCTGATCAACTGCGTGGGGTATCTCGCGGGCAAGGAGGAGGAGCAGGACACCAGCGGCCAGGTGGGCGTGAATGTGCTCGCGCTGAGGAGGAATGTGACGCTCAAGGGGATCCTGAACGGGCCGAAGGATCGGTTCGAGGAGATGGTGGCGTTTTATGAGAGGCATTCTATCCACCCTGTTGTGAGCAAGGTGTTTGGGTTTGAGGAGGCGAATAAGGCGTTGGAGTTTTTGAGCAGTGGGCAGCATTTTGGAAAGGTTGTTGTGAGGGTGTCGAAGAAGGAATAGAGGAGAGAACTACATGAGCTATGAGATAGATAGATAAATAGATGCTTGATATAAGTGAGTGTCATTTGTGTTACGTTGCGTTGCTATCGTGTTCATTCGTTTCTGGCCTGGTTATCGTGTGGTGTAGCACCGAGATGACTTGGCAGTACAGTCTGACACAGACACAATCAATCAACAGTTCTGGTTAGAGAGTTGTGTCAAGGCCTCATTATGATTATCATTCCATTGCCTGGTGTCTAGTAACCCCATGAACCCAAAAGTGAGAACTCCCCTTGTAATGTACAAACCCAGCTCCTGATTCTCATGACTTGTATATCCACGAAAGTGCTTTTGTTCTATCGTAATTACAAAGTCTTTGGAACAACTCGCACATCAGAATCGACCAGGTCCAGCCTGTTGATCAACGGCGCAAAGATACAATCCTGAATCGGCTTAAGAACAAGAACAACTCGATTGATGCGCCATCCAAGCAACGGAACTAGAGCCCCAATGAATGCATCCGTGAGGAAGTGATTCGCAGTAGCGACAATAGTAATAAGCATGGCTGTCGGCCAAAGAGGAGCGAGGATGCGCATAAATCGATGCGGAGAGAATCGACACATACAAACTGCAAAGAAGAGTGATGTTCCAAAGTGCAAGCTCGGCATCGCAGCGATAGTCAATTGGAACCGATTATTGTTCCAGACATTAGCACCCCCAGCTTTACTATGCAGAACATCAACGAAGCCATATTGCTGCGGTAGTAATCTTGGAGGTGAGCATCGCCAGAGCGTCACGATGACGAAGGCAATAGCGTTATCGACGGCGATTGTACGACGAATTCGTCGAAAGGTTGGTGATGGGAGATAAGTATAGATATAGATGAGGAAGAGGATGCCGATGCTGATGTGGGAGTAGTATATCTTTGCGAGGATGGGCATGAGCCACGGTTGCTGGTTCATTATGTAAGACTGGAAGTATTGTTCGATATCGAGGCCGAAGAATGATTCTAGAGTGAGGATTTGAAGGGCGTGGTCTCGGGCGCGGGTGAAGATTGGCTCGTTGCCTGCGATTGCTCTGGCTGATACTGCTCGAAGGCCTTGGTAGATCCTACAACCATCAGTATATATGTATAAATCAGCGTGATGAGAGAAGTACCAGTATGTCAAGTTCCAGTACCAAATCTCTATCAAGAACGGAAATTTATTGAAGAAGCGAGATAACAAGACGAAGAAGAAGTTGGGAGCCTTGCGAACTGGACGCTCGATATGTTGGAGGAGAGTGGGCTTCAGAGGAGGTGAGTCGACGTATCGTTGGTCTTCAACATCGTCTAGTGATTCGTTGTACGTGACTTGAGTGTCTCGTCGTCTGTTGATAAGACATCCTACAGTGAATGCGACGACGATGACTTGAAGGTGTCAGTGAGATGTAGCTTAGAGCGTGGTGTTGACTTACACACTGGTTCGACCACGTTCTTTGAAGCCACAACCATGATTGCGATAAACAAAAGCAATAGAATTGAAAGAAAATAAAACACAATGAACCCAATTATATATGATAAGGATGAATAAATACCGTGTCTATAAAAGAGGGTGATTGATGTAAACTGCCCATCAAGATCTATTCAGAAGAGGGAAAGGAAGAAGAACGAAGGACAAGTGACAGAAACAAGATAAAGTAAAAGTCCTAGATATAAGTAAGGTAGGCAGGCAGATAATAAAAGAAACAAAATCTGCATGCAAGCCAAGCATAGAAAAGACAAGGTAAAGTTGCACGAACAAGGAAAACTTATTAGGGTGTGGTACCAAACAGGGAATAAAGCACAAGACACAGCAGAACCAAACATTGCAATGAATGTCACTGCCATCGGAGAATAGGAACAGAGATACCGATGCTACTCATATCACACCCGGCGCTTGACCATTTGAAGCTGTGCTATTCTATTCTGTGGCCGTCTCAAGACGTCACTTGCAGCAGAATATCCCTGCTCTCACAGTAGAAATAACCGTCTGATCCCCCTGTTCTCCAAATCTGTGGATACTATCTCTATCCTAACCTCCAAGTCCAAAGCCTCCGCGGATGCCGTCGGACTTTATAACATCTAACTCGACCACATATTCAATATTAGTACTCCAAGCCTTACGGAGTGCAATAATCTCACAGACACAACACGTTGCAGTGGCTGAGACATAAGCTCACCTCAGCATTGGGCGGGTACAGTGCAATAAGCTTAA